GTTCCCGGGAATTGGGTTTGATTGAATTCACAAAGGAAGAGAATTCTTGTGTGCATGATACATTGGCAAAAGGAAAGCTACACGTGGGATGGTGGATGTAAAGCTTCAGTACGAAGTAATTTGGTCTTGGAATTGAAAGTACTAAGGGGGCGTTTGGTAAAAGGGTATCGGAATGAAGTAATGGAATAAACTCCATAACTGGTGTTTGGTTCACTGGTATGGGAATTGAAATTTTGGAATGATTTCTAAAAATTTGGCATCTCTCCATTCCCTAGTAAAAGGGTGGGTTTTGTCCAAAACCCAAGTATGATTCCAAAATTTTATAATTACATAATATTTAGTATAATTAATATTTATATATATTATATATTTATATTATAATATATACATATATAATATATTACAATTATAATATTTTATTATAATATTAGTATATTATATAAATATATATTATAATTACTTAGTTAAATATAATTATATTTATATAATATAAATTTATTAATATTATATAATAATATATTTATAAATGTATATTATATGTGCATATAATTATAATATATACATGTATATAATATTAATAAATTATATAATTATAATTATAATTATATTTATTATTTTAAATATAATAATATATAATAATAACTATATCTAATATTAACATGCATTATAATTATATAAAATATTAGTACAATTAATATTTATATATTATATAATTATAATTATATATTTATATTATAACATTTGTATAATTATAATTAAATAACATTTGTATAATTATAATTAATTATATATATAATATTTAATTTAATTAGTTACAAAATTATAATAATGATATTATTATATTATATAATTATATATTATAATTATTTAGTTAAATATAATTATACCTATATAATATATATTATAAATTTATTAATATTATATTATAATATATTTATAATATATATGTATATTTATAAATGTATATTATATGTGCATATAATTATAATTATAATTATTATTTTAAATATAATAATATATAATAATAACTATATTTAATATGTAATATATATTATATTTATATAAAATAGTAGTATAATTAATATTTGTATATATTATATAATTATAATTATATATTTATATTATAGCATTTGTATATTTATATTTAATTATATATATAGTATTTAATTTAATTAGTTACAAACTTATAACAATAATATTATTAGTTATATGTATTATATAATGTATATTAATTTATGTAATATAATTAATATTATCAATTATACTAATAATTATACATGTTTACTAATAGAAATTATTAATTAGTTAGACTAAATTTACTAATACATTTATACTAATATATTTAATTAGTGAAAATTTCTTAAATCCCATTTACAAAGAGCCAATAACTATCATTTACGATGTGGTTTATAATATATTTATTATATTCTATTCCAAAAGAGTCGACGAGCTAAACATCAACTATAGTAATGGTACACATTCCAGGTACTTGAACCAAACAAATGTATTGGAATGAATGACTTCATTCCAAACCCAGGATATCCGATTCCGAATCCGAATCCGATTCCGATGTACGAACCAAACGCCATCTAATACATTCAATCACCATTCCATACTATTAATTAAAGGCAATGACCAGTTTTACGGAGCTTCATATGCAAGTCCACCTATGGACTTTGGTTGGAAATCAATATTGTCTTGATCTTATGACATTCAAATTAAGTTGAAAGAAAAAAAATGTCGAAATTTGCTCGTTCAAATACTTCATCAATTTCTTTTAGCATTCACAAACAAATTTCGAGGAGGCATTTTGTAGACAATGGAATTTTAATTAATTCTAAAATTACTATTTGTCTATAAATTATTTATATGGCTTATTTTTATCCAATTGGATATCCCCCCATGTCAGGCGCCCTTGGAAGTTTGGTTACTCGGTATCCAATCCTATCTCTCCATGTCAAGATGAGGTGTTACGACCAATTAAAATTGCCGGGATATCTCTGCCAATCAAATTGTGTCATTCCACATGTCTCTATGACTTGGCAAAATCATGGATAAATATCTAAATAATTATTTCTTTACTAAAAAAATAATATTTAGGGTTATTTAATATATGTAGATGTCTTATATACTGCAATAGCTTGTCCAATCAAATGGCGCCACGTCATGTGTCCCTACAAGTTTGGCCAATCAAGGAACTGCTCATTGAAATTACCTCTTTATTAATAAATACAAAATAAAGAGATAATATTTAAACTGATACAGTTCTAATATAACTGCATGTTTTGCAAGACAAGTAGAGTGGCATACATGTTTTCAACCTCTACCTCATGCCACGATTATAAATAAGGGATCTCTCTACCAAGTCAGGAGAGACAAAAAAGACATCTCATATGCTCAAGTCTTTTGAAATTTCAAGTTACAAAGGCCAGCATCTTCAAGTTCTTCAAGTTTCCATATATTAAGACTTGAATCTTCAAGTATCTTCTAAGTTCTTCAAATCTTCCATATCAAGATTTGAAGGAATTAGTGGTTGATCCAACAACAAGCTGCGAAACCCTTGGATTAGCGTTTGAAGAAAAGAATCGAAGGAAACTCTCTATAAGTTTGAGAAAATCCCGGAGACTGTACTCACATATTTTCTTAAATTTATATATTGCATATTTGTCATATATTTTTTCTTGTCGTTTTGCATACTCAAAATTTTATCGCGTACAGAATATACTGACACATGTATATATATATATATATATACATATTGGTACGTGTATGTATATACACAAACACATGTATCAATTAATAGGAAAAATTAAGGTATTTTTCCTTTTCCATTTGAATTCCAATAAAAAAAATTTTTAGCCTTTGTTTTATTTAACATATTCAATACATATGAGGTATTTTTTTTATAAAATTTGTAATATTTTATTTTTCCAATAAACTAAAAATATAATAAAAATCTTATTTTTCTTTTAAATTCATGTTCTTTAATTTCTTCTTATCCAAAATTCATTGTTATATTGTTGTATATTCAATTTTGTAATCATAAGTGACTAAATATAACTAAAAACAAGTAGAACCATTATTGAAATGAACTGGAGCCATAGCTGAAATTAGAACCGATGGTTCCAAAATCGTCTATAAGTGCTGTTCCGATTCTACCTTTTAAAGAAATCAGACCAGCGGTTCTACAATGGTTGCCACCTCGACTTCCTATTTCTACTTCTAATCCTAAACTATACTAAAGGGAGGATGATCCAAAAGGGGCCAAGGAGGAACCCGAGGGAATTGAAGAGGTGATTAGGGAGAGGGAATGACCCAAAGGGTTGGGGGAATCTGGGAGACTAAGGCTTCATTTGGATAGGGAGAAAAGGACAGAAAAGAAAGTATTCAGAGAGAAAGGACGGTCATTTCTTTCATTTGGAAGTTTAACAAGACAGAAGAGAAGTGAAATGAACGGATAAAAGTCTCCCTCCAATTGTTGAAAATTTTTCCACCCAAAAGTGGGAAGAAAAGGACGGAAACTTGTTGGACGCCAAAAGACATTTTTAATATGACAAGTTTGTCCTTTCAAAGTTGATACAAAAATTCATTATTCCCAATATATCCTAAAATTGATTTCTAAAAGCACCGCAAAGCTTTCTCGATCCTGTGTCCTGTATTTTCAATACTTCCAACAAGTTGAGAAAACTTGTCTTTCTTCCGTTTTTCACCCATAAATCACCAAACAAAAGGTATTTCTTTAACTCAATCTCTCTTTCTTTCTTTGCTCAGTCTCTAGAAAATTGCTCAGTCTTTGTTCGTGTGATAGAGGAAACCCATAAAGAACTGAAATGTTATGGGCAATTTCTTTTTTTTTTTTTTTACTTTCACGTATTTAATTTATGTTAAAAACAAAACCTACTAGTTTTCCTTTCGTAAAAATATTAGTATATCACTTTTTAAATTTTACTTACAAACATTTATGTATTTAACATAAATTATATGATTCAGAGTAAAATGCCTATAAATAACTAGTACTTTATTCATATAATAGAAGAAACTCGTAAAGAGTTAGTAAAAAGTGGGTAATTTCTTTTTTTACTTTCACGTATTTAATTTATGTTAAATACAAAACCTACTAGTTCCCATTTCGTAATAATATTAGTGTAACACTTTTTGAATTTCACTTATAAACATTTATGTATTTAATATAAATTAAATGATTCAAAGTAAAATGCTCATAAATAGTTAGTACTTTATTCATATAATGGAAGAAACTCGTAAAGAACTGGTATATTATGGACAATTTTTTTTACTTTCAAATACTTCATTTATATTAAATACAAAACATGCTAGTTTTCCTTTCGTAAAAATATTTGTGTAACGGCTTTTGAATTTTATTTGCAAATATTTATGTATTTAACATAAATTAAATGATTCAGAATAAAATACCCATAAAAACCCAGTACTTGGCTCATGTAATAGAGAACAACCATAAGGAATTGGTACTTTATGGGATATTTTTTTTAAAAAAAATATTTAATTTATGTTAAATAGATAACCTACTAGGCATTTCCGGTCAATATCAAAATCATATGTCAAGAATACCTAAAAGATACTACAAGGACTTGAGGCGATTTACATGCATGCAAGAGAATCGAAGTCCAGCAAGAAATTTGTTTTATTATTCACCTTGTGGGAATGCATATGCAATTGTTTTAGAAATTTGTCTTGTCCAAATATTCTATTTATGGGAATAAGAAAGCTAATTTTTGGACTTTGATTTACAAATTAAAAGGGCAAATATGTAAAGTTGTATTCTCATAAAATCTTTTTTTTCCATATCTCTCCAACTTTCAAATAAGAGAAAGATATTTCTTTTCTTTTCTTTTATTAAACTCCCAAACGAAATATGCATTTTTTCTCTTCTTTTCCTTTCTTTCCTAAGCTATCTTTTATTTTCTTTTCTTTTCTTTTCTCTCCCTTCATAAACTCCCAAACTAAGCCTAAATTAGTATTGATCCAGACAGCGATCCAAACAGATGCATCATGCATATATACTCGGCGAAACTTTCCAAAAACCAATTTTTAGAGTGCAATCAGAATCGAATCCTTTGACCCACACATAAATAGAGTGTTAAAAGCTCGTGGCAGAGTTGTTGGCTTTCCCCGTTCTATCAATCCTGCAATGAGTTATATGTTTGAGCCTGAAATCAGCACACGAAAATGAAGAAAGGTACCAAAAGAAAACAACCGCTGAATAGTTCCTCATCATCTTCAATAACCAAATCCCTGAAAAGGTCGAAAACCATAGGTATAGGAAACACAGAACCATACCCAGACCACCCACGGCCCACCCCAGATGAATGCTTAGCACTGAGAGACGCCCTCTTGGCCCTTCATGGTTTTCCCAAAGAATTCCTAAAGTACCGCGAGCAAAGACTAAAGAAAGAAAATCCAAGCTTTGAAAAGAATTCTTTGAAACCTGAGCCACCGGAGAAATTGCACGTTGAAGAAAAGAGTGATTCTTCAGGAAAGTCCGAAGGGGAAGAGAGTGTGTTGGATGGTTTAGTCAGCACTATTCTGTCACAGAACACTACTGATGTTAACTCTCAAAGGGCATTTCTTTCTCTCAAGTCTGCTTTTCCCACCTGGGAAGATGTAAGCCTTTTAATTTATCTATTTGTTTTGGATCGATGCTGTCAGTTCATTGGATTGAGAATTCTTTTGGGGGGTAAATTTAGTGTTTTTTTTTTTTTGAGCAATAACAATAGTAGTGACCTACTGGTGAGATGAACTAGATGGTAAAATCCCATATAGATTACTGGAAGTTAATGCAAGTTTCGCGCTCTCTGGATTTAACTGGCATTTGAATTTCTCACCTGTCAGTGGAAAGAGTTCTTAAAATGCTCTCCCCTGGCTAATTGGCTAATTGGGCTAAGACGTATGGTTGTAAAATGTAGTTTTATGATTGTTGTGTCCACTTTTGTGCTAATTAGAGTGTTAGGCCCTGTGATTCAAAGTTTTATCTTGATAATTGGAACTAGATTGTCTCTACTGAAGTGTAATACTAGTTGGTTTGGTATTCAAAAAAACCCAAGTTTGCTGAGAGTTTTACTCTCACATGGAATGTTATGTGAAAAAGTCTGTAAGTTACATTGACTTTCGCCTGACAGAAACTCAAATGGGGTATTTAGCAGGATTATAGTAACATAATAATTTGCTAAGAGATGGATGCTTGGGCTAGTTGTGGGCTACTAATTGTAGATTTTTTTTTTCATGTACGTTGGCTGGATTGATCTATCCTTTCATGATCTATCGCAAGTTGCACATCAGTAGCCAAATTTTTTTCTTTTGGTTGAACTTGTTCTGCATTAAGTGGAATGTAATAATTACATTTTGATTAGGTTGTTTCTTAAACTTCTGTAGAAAAGTTTCAAACATTGCCATCCATTTTTGTCATTTTCACCTGAGACATTGTGCTTGACATCTCCTGCAAAATTTTTATCTCCAAATTATGATCCTTTTGTTTCTGGAGCTACATTTTCTGTAAAATGCTGGCACTAGGATAATAAGCACGTAGTTTCCAATTTAGAACATATGGTTGTCTTGATTAATTTTATAGCTTGATTGTATGTTGATTGGTTAGAGGAGCCCAATGTTGTTAGGCAACATCTTGTGGATTCTCATTGACTGTAAATGGCCTACTTTGGGTATTAGATTGGGTATTGGAGCATTCTGAAAATGCATCAAGATGAAGTTAGCCGAAGAATCCATGTATATTGATCAAATTTTTGGGTGAACTTAATTCATTTTCTCATATAAATACGACTCATGTTCATGGCTTTCAATTTGGGTGGCAATTTCTTTTTCAATTTACAATTTCTTACTCTGTATTGGCTTACTCTGCATGGATGAAAAATGGTAAACCAATATTTTCACTCATTAGCTTTTTAAATGGTTGAGGTTCTTGCTGCTGAGCCAAATCATATTGAGGATGCTATAAGATGCGGAGGTCTGGCACCAACCAAGGCTTCTTGTATTAAAAGTATTTTGAACTGCTTGTTCGAAAAGAGAGGAAAGTTGTGCTTGGAATACCTACGAGACTTGTCTATTGGAGAGGTCAAAGCAGAGCTCTCTCAATTCAAAGGAATCGGTCCCAAAACAGTAATACATGCATCTTTCCACCTTTTATTTTTGATTCTTCTGATTGTTATTTCCTGTAGATGATGAGGGACTTTAGTTGAGTTGAGAAGTTGAATTCTCTTTTCATATGTCAAGGACTAGATGACTGCACTAACAGGATTGCCCAAAGGTGCTGAAGTAAAAAATTATTACAGTTGATAGGATTCTATGATGATGAATGTACATAATATTTAAATGATTCCTTTTCCGCCTTTTCCTGCAGAGGTTTAAGATCCAATACCTGTTAATTCTGGGGCCTTCTTATGTGACAAATAAAGAAATCTAGCCAGAACAATTTCTACTGACTTGGATTTGGCTGCTGCTTCAGAATTTTAAGCATTGCTAACGAGTAACAAGTAGTTGAAGTTGTGTCTGAAGCTTTCAGAATGATCAACAGATGTAATATTCTGGGCTTTGTCTTAATGATTTGGTCAATATGGTTAAATATGTATAGAGTTGCAAAAGCAAGTCTTTGGTATAAAATTTTTTGTAAAGACAAAGCTAGTGTAATGCAGTAGTTAAAGATTTATAATTCTTTTGATTTTTCTGTGCTTTATTTACCTAGTAGGTTTGTCAGGATAATTATATCTTATGAAAGAATTTGAAGAAGGTGTGATGGTATCAACATGTATCACTCTTTCCTGAATATTTTGATAGCCTCTTAACTGTTGGTTTATTTTAAATGACTCTGAACCATATGACATGCTTTTTCATGCAATGGATCTGAATAAGTTCTTGTTGCTAGGATAGTTGAGCTTAAAATAATGGATCAAAATGATATTTATGTGATGGTGGCCTCAACAGGATTATTCCCTGACAGAATTGAGGAGAAAAATCGGCTGAATCATTTTACCAAAGTTAATTGACTTACCATTCTTTGAGAGTTTTATATCCTCTGGTTGTAGCATGGACCCTGTATGCATGAACTCCTTATGGCTGTTTCCATTATTATTAGGAAACAGAGGATGACATGGGCAGGCCCTTGTCAAATTGCAAAGCAGAAGATCTTTATTTTGTTGAGACTGGGCTACAAAGACATTCATACCTATGTTACCTATGTTAGCAAAAGGTCAAAAACAAAGACATTCGTGTCTATGTCAGCAAAAGATCAAACTCTTTCAGATATTCTGCTGTAGGATCACAAGTTAAAATGTTCTTAACCTCTGTAGGTAACAATCCTTATGAATTGGGAATATCTTCTCCTAATGCTGCTCTTATCAGACAGAGTGACTATTGGAACTTATTAATAGAAAGAAATCCTTCTGCTGGGAACTGTAAAAATGCCTGTTGTTTAGTGAATTGTGCAAATGGATTCTAGCTTGACTAAAGGTGTAACCTCTATTGACTTTAATGTAGAATGGAAATGAATGTATTTCTGGTTCTCATGATTTGACATGTACTGGGGTGATATATTTGATGTCAAATTGGTATTCAGTTGGCCCCAATTAAAATTAATGAGAAGCAAAGAAACCAACCAATTCAAAAGTCAGGATCATGAAGATTGATGGGCGAGATTGAGTTTAATTGGCTTCAACCTGCCATGTACAGTGGCTGGCCAGATTTAGGTGGATATCAAGAATTTAGGATTGGAGACTTCTAATAGGGGTTTCTTTCTTCTTTCGATTGATGGTCTTTGAGAAAGCCAGAAGAATGGACAGGTTAAGGTGGATCTTATTCAAATGTTAAGTATTCAAGGTGCAGTTCCAGTGATGTATGATAAACATCTAGTAAATATTTCTAGCTTTCAGGATAAGAAATATGATTCTAGAAGGTAAAAGCAGAATTGACTTCAATCACTTTTCTCATAAAAACAAGGGAGATTGAATCATTAATTTTCATATCAGTCCTATATGGATAGATTTGCTCAACAGTTATAAATAAATTTATGTGTTTAATGGTGTGACATAGAAATTATGAATGCTGTTGCATTGGACAGTTTCTGCAACAGCAACCACCTGCCGACAATAGATGCTTGATCTTATAGGAGCAGGGATATATCATTGTTTCTATTCTGAGAAATGATGATTTGTTGCTTGATGTTATAGATTGTCTTTAGTAGATTTTAAAAATGCTTTTTTACCATTTTATTTCGAATTCTTTTTTTTTTTTTTACAAGTTTCTTTTTATTTACCACCTCCCTTTTTCTTAAATCCAATTTTAGGTGGTATGATACTTTCCTACAAGCCTAGGAGATCACGGCTGTATTGCTTTTTGCGGTGTGCCTATCGGACAGTTTGGGGTCATTTGATCTCTTCCTCTCCTTTGTTTGTTTTAATTTAGATTTCTGAGCTGCCACCCATTTATTTTTCCTTAATTTGGTTTTCTGCGGTCTTTGTTTCCCTGTTACAAGTCCCCCTTTGTCTTTCTTTTGCATGATATGCATCAAGTCGATAGTTAAAAGGTATATACTTTGATTGCTAATATGAGCCATAAACGCAAGAAAAAGGCATATACTGATGCTTTTGGTTGATGCTTCTCGGCAATTGTTTAGTCTTCTTTTTAGAGCCGATGAATTTGAATAAAGATATGCTTGTGAAGTTCAGTTCGTATATAGTGCATCCACTAATAAGGCCCATAGAACTGGAATGTGTACAAAATATGGATCATGGTAGTTTGAAAGAATGTCTACATTCTTTATAGTTCCTAATACAAACTGTTGAAAATAAAATCACGGAGGTTGCTGTTTGTCGGTGGATTTAATGATCTTATGTGGATAACAGGTGGCATGTGTCTTGATGTTTCATCTTCAGCAAAACGATTTCCCTGTGGACACTCATGTGAGTATTGCACTTTCCTAAATCTTTTTCCTAATCATTGCAAATTTAACATGTCAAGCACTTTTTTAGGTATTCCAGATTGCAAAGAGCATTGGATGGTTACCTGTGTTGGCAGACGTAAAAAGGGCATATCTTCATCTAAATTGCCGTATCCCAAACAACCTAAAATTTGACTTAAACTGTCTCTTGTTTACTCATGGTAAGGTCTGTCGACAATGCTCTAGAAAGGGAGATTACAGGCTGAAAAAGGAATCTAAAGACGAATCCTGCCCATTGCTTACCTAAAACACTCTGAAACAGAATAGTGTTAAGATATGTCTAGACATCATTCTCATTCTTCATCTTTGTAATTAAGCACATCCACATTGCTGTTCCTTTCTTTCAATTGATCAGGAAAGAGCTCTATTTGATGAGAATGCGATTCTGTTTAGCTGCTTGTCATGAACCATTTCTTGATACATGACACAAGTTGGAGCCATATCTACATTACAGCCTTATGCATTTAGCCTTCATGCTTGTTTGATCTTCATTATCAGCAAAACAGAGACAAGAAGTTCATTGCCTTAGCTATCTGATGCCTTCTTGTAATGACTTGATAAAAATCCTTTAATTGGAAGACTGAAAGCAGGGATTTAATTGAAGTGGGAGTTGCAGGGAGTGTCACTCCACTGCAACACATTCCATTGTGCTCTGACTTGTCATAAAGCTTAAGGTACATGGTACAATGAGCCACTTGCGCAGATGGAAACAAAATTGTCTCGCTGGCCATTATAAATTTCTAGTATACAAGCACTAACTTAGTTTAACTGAAAATCAGATAGTTGGCTGTAGAAAATAGTGTTTCATTCGTCAAATAGATATGGCCATAGCTTTGAGACACTAAGTTGCTAGATCTGCTTTCATCATCGTCCACACTAGAAATTCTGTTATTTCTGGCATGCAACTCAAAAATTAGTGGTTCTTTTTTATCACGAAACAGTTTCCTATTAAGTTGAGTAAGACCACCTATTGTGGAGAACAGTAATATCTTTTTGTCAATTCTCTACATTTTTTTTTCGGTTATTCTTTGGGGAGGAAAATCACTGTGTGTTATTGAGATTTGAATATTATCTCTATTGACAATTTGATATGGTAGGGGTTATTTGAAAGATAGCAGCATTGTTGTCTCCATGGATCTCATGTGATTTTAACTTTTGTTTGAGATGATGGTATATATGCTGTTTGATTGTTGAATTGCGACTTGAAAGTTATATTGACTATTAAAGTAGCACTCCATTTCCTGATTTAGGATGGACGAGGACAGTTTGATGAATATTTATTCTAAAAGTGGTCAAGTCTTAATCCTGTAAAGCACGAGTTGTAGTTGTCTGCATTTGGAACCTTCTTTCTTTTACTCTGTAGTTTTAACTCCTTAGTAGGTTTATGTATATATGCACGAGTCAAGTCAATGTCGAGATACCTGAAGCTTTTCATATCAGGCAAGAATCAAGAATATGGACCAAAACATTGCAATCTCATTCCTCCTTTCACCCGCAAGGAGTTGTGTTGATTACTTCTCTTGTGATACTTCTGTTGATAATAAAAGATTGAAACTCTTTGGCTTTGAGATAGATTCTTGCCAGAAGAGTACCACTGCTCCTATATCTGAAAGAGATGAGCGTGTAAGTTCCTCAGACACTGTTTTGTCGAAGGGCGGCAAAAATCTTCCAGGAAAGGGTTGTATATCTGTTGATTCATCAAAGGTTGTACATTCTAGGACTGATGATCTGCCTAAAGCCACTGGAAATCCTCTGTGTTCCATTGAGCTTCAGAAGTACAACTGTGAATTCTGTTCCAAGAAGTTCACAAAGTCACAGGCCTTGGGAGGTCACCAGAATGCTCATAGAAAGGAAAGGCTGATGAAAAAAGGCATACAGCTTCAAGCCAAAAGGACAGGCTCTAATGCCAAAATTTTATCTTTTTCTGACTAGCAATGCTGTAATCTACCATTATTCTCCCCCAGATCTTGGAGATCTGGCTTTCTGTCTTTCTGTTTGCATTCTCGGTAAACCTCAGATATATAGTTTTGATTCTCTAAATCAACATCAAAACTTCGATGGTCTCCATTTCTCACATTCTAAAGCTCTTTCTCGACACTGCAAATTTCAACTGTGAACTGGATAGCAACATGTGGTCTCGAACAGGATTAGAGGGAATTTCTGCTTTCTTCTAGGCAGCATGAAAAGGAGAAGGTTTCTCTTTTGGGCTTTTTTGGGGGGTGGGGAAGATGCTGCCAGATTGTAGCCAACAATCAAAGCTGAGCATCCTAAGGTGATAGCATTTGTCCTGGAACTTCTTTATCTTCTCCAGAAGTTGTCTTTCTTTGGAATAACAGGCTTGTGTGTGTAATCTTTCTTCTTAACCCTGAGAAACAAAATTGGGATGCAATCAAGAGTGAACTTATCTTCTCTTCTTGTTTCATAAGGGGAGTTCCATTTTAACACCCTCCAGCCTCTCTAGCCTATTTCTTCCATCCCATTTACCTTCTAAAAATTTAAACATGTCCTGAACAATCATAGATCATAAGAATTCCCTAACTTGGGTAAGCAACTTTAGTATAATGTCAACATTAATGAAGTAGCAGCTAATTTTGTCAACCTGAAGTAGTAGTGATAATCAGCGATAATCCTTGATATTAAGTGTTTTTCTTTTCCATTAGAAAATGGGAAGGAAGAAACAGGGAGGGAAGATGATTGAGGTGAGAATTACACCCTCTTTCAGATGCCTGGTTCTCCTTAGAAAGTTCAAATCCTTTTGGTGATCATGAGTATACAAATTACAAAATATTCTCCTTTGAAGTAATAAGAACAAACCAGACCTTTAAAAAGAGTTGTGGATCAAGAATCCATACGATCAACAATATTAGTTGTAGCCATGACTGTGATTATAAGTCTATAACTATCAAATGTTAACTCATTTATTTGGACTCACCCAAACTCGCCAATTAATAAATAGGTTTTGTAAATTTTAATTGGGTCTAATTGGGTAGTCCAATTAAACTCATAATTAATGGGTATTAAGTGTGTGGAGTTGGATCACTTATTTAGATCTAATTAAAATTAAATGTAAGGGCAAACTCAACGCCAGTCATTGAATTTGAATCACTCACCAATCAAATAACTAGATTCTAAATTTTGCAAAACATATTTACTTTTCTTTAATATTTCATTCTTTTTTTTTCTTTATCCTTCTTCCTTCCTCCTTTCCAAATATAGCAAGTTCTTCAATTTGTGTTAATTGACTTCTCATGGTAATCCCTAAACTATTTTTAAATTCTTGTAAAAGTAGTATCATTTGATACTTGCTTTGGTCACCATTTTGGTTAATCTATATTAATTTTTTTATTACAATAGAATATTGTTTTTCTTACTAAACAAAATATGAGAGAAAAAAAGAAATTAAAATTTTAAGTGGATGATAAATGGATAATGAGATGATCCACACCCATCTAAGATTATATCCATTTAAAACTAACCTGTTCTAAGTCATTGACTAGACGATATATATGATTTGATCCTATTATACTGATTATCCAATTATGATCCATCCAAATCCATCCAATTCACTGATTTTGATAGCTCCAATCTATAACTACCTACACTATGAGTGTTTGCAAATGGTCCTCCACCTTAAAACCTACAGTATACAGAACGGGTAAAACCTAGACTGTTCCATTTATTCTCCTTAATTAAATTCTGTGTTAGAAGTACTACAGCCCACCATGTCCATTTGGTAATTAGTTCAAAACCTTTCTCACTAGGCAAAACATGCCTATTGTGTACATTTATTACGATTTCTTCTCGAATAGTTCAAAACATATCGCCACTTTTGATGTTTCACATTATTTTTTTTATTAATTATTTTCTAGCCCAGTCTAAGGGAAGGGAGAGCCGATAGGATTTTCTTGTTGGAGGAAGTCACAATTAAGTGGCAAAGTGGGAGACAAGGGTTGAACACTTAACCTTCTATCCCACCAACAAGATTTAAATGTCTCGGCGGTACTAACAGCCCAAGAGGCTCTTGGCTTTCACATTATTTTTGTTATATGATTCTCTTGTAAATTGCCTTTTTCAACAACCAATTTTCATTTGCAATGAACATCATTTGGAGTTGCCTTTTAAAAAACAAAATATCATTCGGAAGACTTTCTTGGACTGTTATATTCAACATAATAAAGTCTGATATTTATACGTAACTAAATTGCTAAGGATGTTCCAAGTAGTTTATGATTGTTTGAAGATCCTTTCATGCATTATGTTAGGTATCAAAGAACATCAATTGTGGTTTAAAGGGATCCAGCCATGAATAAAAATATTGCATAGAAATGCAAGGGACCAAAAAGCATATATCCATGGTCATATCTGAAGCTTTCAGATATCTTTGATTCTTGTAGACTACAAAATTCAGTTCATGTAAACTTAGTTCCTACACCATTTAAAAGAAAAACAAAACATTTCCTAGAATCATAAACATTACCCAGATATATTATTCACTTTTGCATCACATCGTCAAATATAATCTATAACAATTGATAGCACAATTATCATTGATCACCATAATCAGTGCCAACAAATTAATTCTTCCCATTAATTAAGAAGATGTACTATGTAAAGCAATCAAATCTGGATTAGCACTAAATTAGCTGCTGCAGTAATCAGCATTTTTCTTAATTTCATGAACTTGAAGATGATCATCTATCGTCAGTACTCCATTTTGCCTTAAGCTGAGTTTAATACGTCGCATCTTTTCCTCACCTCTCCTTCCTTGCCAGTTTTGACTCCATAAATGCTAACCTTTTCCATTGCCCTGGCAAAATCATCGAAAAATGCTTGGCTGTCCTGTGCATACTTATCCACAAGAGGCCTAGTTCTGGGGTCTGAGAACAGAACTTGATCAGATGCTAGAACTCCCAATCCATTCTGCAAATTCTTGAAAAGTCTATTGTCGAATACACCGGGACTCATCACATCCAAGAAGGCTGATAATCCTTCATTGGTCGTGTAATTTGCGCAAGTCTTCTTCAACCCTTCGACTAACTTAGGGTTTATACTGGGATCAACCTTGGGACCGAAAATCCTGTCTGCGAATTCAGAACAATGAGCAAATCCAATTGTATGGCCACCACCAATTAGTGCAACCATTTCAGGAATGGTGAAATTCTTGGCTGCAAAAATATTGATCATTGTGTCCGCAGACGCATTTGACCTGGCTAAGTTTCCATCAACCTGTGAGGCCGGAGAGACAAGGCCGTCTAATCGTCCCAAAGGGACGTTATAGAAAGGTCCACCGGTGATTGAAACAAGATCACGAGTGGCTACAGCTAGAATATCAGAGCAGGAGACAACGCCCGGGCAGGAAAGCTCAATGGCGGTTTTTGCACGAGCAATTAGATCGAATGCATCACCCGCAAGGGAATGGTTGATGTCTGCATCCATCTCGGTCTTATTGAAGGCGGTGGGCTTTACCAGAACCGATGCATCACAACCACCAACCATGCAATCGTGGAAGAAGACACGGAGGGTGGCGGCAGCTGTGGTGGGACTTTGAGCTTGTTTTGCTTGGGTTACATCTCTCAAGATATCTTCAAATCTTGGACATGTTTTTGCATAGTAATCAAGAGTAAGAGCTGATTCTGAACAAGGGATGAAACAGACTAGAGATGAAATTAAGAACCAGAGAACTAAATTGGCTTCCATGGTTTAGAGAGAGAAGAAGTTATCAATAGGACCTTCTCCTCTCGCAGGAAAAGGTGGAGCTGTGTAGAAAGATGATGGTATATGACGTAAACCCAAAAAGGGGAAAAAAAGTATAGAAGAAAATCAATTGAGATGATGAAGTTGGAGGGAACGGGGTGTCGAGGTTAGGAGGAGTTGTAGGAAAAGGATGGCTCGTAATTGTGCAAGGTTTGTTTGTTTGTTTGTTTGTTTGCCACTTGCTAATTGCCATGCATGCATGGGGATGATAATAAGGTCTTGGGTTGACCGTGGAATCCGCTTGACTCAATGACTGGATGTTGAAACATTTTAGAGGGGCCCTACAACTTCATACCACAATTAGTACTTGAGTTACGGTAGGATAGAACCGCATCACCCTAATTTAATTTAGGTGGCTATTTAATTTTTTTTTTGAAAATTTTTTTATTGTAATGTAAGTGAGAGGGTTGAATTCAAACCTCTCGCTTATACTTCAAACTCGGGACATGTCACTTGTATTCCTTATCCTCGTATTACTTAATCAATTTCTTCGCCTCCTGACTAATTAGTTTGTTTAATCACACTTACAATTGCAAAGACATTACATCCAATTTCCCTCAGTATAGGTTCTGATTATTCATATGGGTACTCAATAGATGTCAACGGCCAAGGGCGGAACCAGTAGGGGGAGTTCGGGGCAACGAGTAGGGAGGGCAGAACCAGCAGGGACTTTTGCTTAATGGGATATTTGAACTATCACTCCTTTTCAAACATTTTTTGACCTTACCGTTTAATTAATTGATTATAAAATTCAGCTTGTTATTGATGGTTTTAGCATTACATATTGACTTGTTAAAACTTTATCTATTATGTCAGGAATGTTTTTTAAAGCTAAACTATGTTCATTTTTCAATTAGTTATTTCATTTTCATATTCATTTTTTATCTACCAAATTTCAATTTTTAGTACTTGGTTCTACATAGATATGATCTTCTATATCTGAAATTCAAACGAATTTGTATATTTTAAAAAGTTTTACCTATAAACATATAAAACCAGTTGCATTCCGTTTGGATTAGCTGTTTTTTGGGGTGTTTTTGAAAAATTTTACTGCAACAGTGTATATGAAAAAATTTTACTATAAATATTTTTTGAAATATTTGATATATTATATGGATGAGATGTTTTTTGAGTTATTTTTATTTGTGTATTATTATAGTATTGTATTTGAAAAACTTGTTTTTAAAAAAATGGCATATCCAAATGGACAAACTTTCACTTTGAAATATGATTTGCTCTTCAAAGTTTGATCCTAGAGAATAGTCGAATTATCAAGAAGATAGAAAAATAAGTAGTTATATTAATACATAAATTATTGCATA